CTCCCCATGTGGGGGGTGTTGGTCTGTTTCATCATTACTGGGCACCAGAAGGAACGAAGACCATTTATACATTTATTTTAAAAGCCTCTGTTGGGTATAAACCTGTCAGGTCGAAACTTCAGCCTTTCATTTTTAAGTTCCCACTATTTTAAACAAAAGCCCCAGGAAGCAGCTTGGAATTTCCAATAATAACTTTTTAACCCATTGTCTGTTTTCAGGCAACAAACAGGTTCTTAGGCTTTGGGGACCGCAGGCAACCCTATTGGAATATGAAAATTTCTACTTCAAGCCTCGTGCACTCTGCTGGGTCTGCAGAGGCATTTTGATGCCCCCCCGCCCCCCACCCCGGGAAGTGTACACAGGCTGCAGAATTTGCAGCTCCTCACTGTCACAGTCAGATTACAGCACCGGTTAAAGAGGAAGACATGAGCCAGGGTTAGCACATGAGATCGCCGTCTCCGATCTACAAAAGCAGTCTAGATCCTAGACGCATAGGGAAAGATAGGGTCTAGCTGGCGGGGTTCCGGGTCAAAAAGTAGTGCCCAGAATTTATATAATTTTTTTTTTTTTTTTGCAGGCCGTTCTGCATTTTCACTGAATTGTCATTTGCTTGTTTCCACTCAAGGGAAACATCTGGTTTCTGCCCGCCAGTGTAGACAGACTGCTCTTATTCTGAAGCTGTCATCCATGAAAAGCATGGTGTGGGCTCAATAGGTTTGCTTATGAAAGGCTTGGGGTCCATCTCTACAGAAATAAACATCCCTGGTAATTGGAAGTTTGGTCCCTGTTACAAACCCCGGCGCGGGGGCGGTTTGGGTCAAGTGGCGAAAGCCGAAAGGAATAAATTCATTTTGTAGAAAGCATTTAATGACGGAGGATGTGGCTGGTGGAGAATTTTCCACGTGACCTTTGTGAAAATCCCTTAGTCATGTCTGTAGAGTCTCTGCCAATACATTTAAAATGCCCAGGGCCTAGAGGTCCCTGAAGGGTGTCACGGGGTACGAGGCCTGTGGCTTCAGCTGTCAGAACTGGGTCCAGTGCAAATGAGAACGGGGGACCCCTTGTTCAGAAGGTAGTAGACTTGGAAGAGGACAGCAGCTGGTGGATCACAGGTCCCACTTCTGTTCCAGGAATCCCTGGGGTAGATGAGAGGAAAGAAGGAAAGTTGGGAAGGATGTTTGCTAACCTCTCACTGGGGCGTTGGGAGAGTCTGGGGGGTGTAGGTAATAATCACTGCGAATGTGCTGATTTTTGTTTCTCGTTTGTCTTTGTTAGGTAGACAGGGAGCTTTGCCCGAGGGCATCTGTATCTTGTTCTTGTTTCGGCAAGAATGATGGTCGGACACAGAACAGTGGTTGAATTAAGGTTAGAAATCGTGTTCTGGGTCTTTCCCACAGTTGAAGAGATTTTTTTTCATCCCGTGAGTTAATTCCAGCCATTGAACGCTCGGCTCTTCCCCTGCCTCTGGTCTCTTCCCCCTCCTCTCCTTCCTCCCAACTGGGGAGCCCCTAGATGGGGACATTTCATTCATCCATGCTGGAAACACCAGTGGATGTTGGGATGTTAAGTACCAGTATCTGCTATCCTTTCTCTTCTCTTTCTGCCTTTTTCCTCCTTTTCATTCTTCTGGATTTATTTGTCTTTTCTCATTCAGAAATATACATACACAGACACACACTAGACATGGGCCCCACATACAAGCCTGAACTGCCCAATTTTGGTCGCCAAAAAAGTGACAGCGAGGGGCAGGAGGTCCACATTTATGGTCCGGACCTTGTGGGAGCTCAGCAGAGTGGGACCTTGTTGAAGTTGTAAAGCTGAGGTTCACCCCCTCCCCACCCCCAAATACTAACGTGCTAGTGGGGGAGCCTTGGTGAAGAAATACAAGCACCCCTTTGGCAGAGTGGCCCCCGTGACCCCCCTCGAGAGAAGGATTGGGAGCCTGTTGGCTGCTGGTCCCAAGTAGGAGGCCTGTGGGAGGGTGGCTGCTGGGCTAGCACAGACCACTCTGCAGACAGCAGATTAAAGGGGTTTTTGTTGAGGCAGAGCAGACGGACAGAGAGAGGCAGAGTTCAAATTAACCCGTCGTAAATCAGGGCGCCCTCGTAAGAAGGGAAAATCCGAGCCTGCTCATTTAAACGTTTGAGCTAATTTAATTTATTATTTCTTTTCCTTATTAGAAAAGCACCTTGTACTTATTTTAAAACACCAATGTGAAGAATTTACAAGGTGTGCATGTCAGACCACAAGAGAGACCCTGGACATCCCCAGAAAGAACCCCTGTCACCCCCTCCCGTCTAGTCCTTCTGATTTGGTCCTCTGTCCCGCTAACAAGCACACACAGATGCATGCAGTTATCATTTAATGAGAATAAAACACGTGCTCGTTCACCCAGATATTAAAAGAAGGTTGTCACTGGGTCTTGAAGATCGGAGCACCAGTGTGATAGTTTGGGTCAGGCCACCAGCATAAATTTTGGTAATAAAACCAAAGACAACGTGTCAATTTATGTTTGGGAAAGTTGGGGCAAGCTCCAGGGAAGGAAAAGTTCATTGGTGCAGAGGGCTGCCTTGAATTTACGACCTTCCTTCCAGGAATGCCCAGAAAGAACCGCCCGCCTGTGCGTGGGTGTCCTGCTGCCCCCTAGTGGTTCCAGGAGAACCGTTCGGGCAGGAAAAGAATTCTGCGCACCGGATCCTCTCTTAGCCCATTTCTTACGATCTGACTGTTTGGATCAATGGATGTTCTTTACTCCCTCTGTAAATATGTTGACCAAAGCCCAAGGCATCATGAACGCTTGAGCCTGGTGGGTCTCTCGCACCTCAGGGCTCAGGTCATTGGACTGAATTTTGGCACGGTGTTTCATGAAAATGGGACACTATTCATCTCACTTGGTAGGGTGAGACACTCATTCTCGGAGAGGAACGGAGGGTTGGTCCAGCCTGTCACCATCTGCTGCATGCTTCCGGGCATCATCAGTGTCCGTGGAAGTTCTTTTAGCACCGGTTCTACTTTTGACAGCATTTAATGAAAGGCAAACATTTTTGAAAATCAAATGCAGTGGAGCCCTATTACAGCTGTTTCCATAGAAATAGTGGGGATGCTTTGAAACGTCTCAGTGGTGCTGAGTTGCTAAAAAGACACATGGTGTTGTTATGAGAAAAGTGTGAAATGCTGCGAACCATTGTAAAACTCTAGTGTTGTGCACTCAGACTATTTTGTCAGTGTCTCTGAGTTCTTTTTAATGCTGATGAAACAAAAGCTAGACATCCTCATGGCTAATGCTGGGTATTTGTTGAATGAATCATTGAGTCATTATTACTATTTTTCTGTCTCTTGGCTGAACTCTGTGAGTTAAACGGGCTTATCACAAGATGCCAGGAACAGAAAGGTTGTATGGGGTTGCTCCCTCGTGCGAGAGTTTGACCCATCACCAGGGTATGGCGCTGGGCACTGGCCCCCACCAGCCCAATCCACCTTCCTCTCCTGCTGCTGCCTGCCTTCATGCCACGCTTTTGGCTTTGCTAAAGGAGCACATACATGTACTCCTCATGTGCTTTCTGACCTCAGTGCCTGCCTTTCTCCAATTACTGGCGACAGGTACCCATCACCTGGTTAGTTCTGGCCTCACCTCTCGCGTAGAACCTTTGTTGACACCTCCCTGCACCCTGCCCCATTCACTCGCTCTCTGATTCCCGCCTCTGCTCGAAGGTGAGTTCCATGGATCCCCGCCCTTAGACCGCGCCTAGCGTACAGCGGGCGTTCAGTGTATGGTGCCTGAATGTTGAAGGAGTATCAGTGCCCTCTGCGTGTGGGGCGCTGTTCTGGGTCCTTCTTCAACGTGGGGGTTTTCCCTCCTCTCTGCTCTGAGCTCACTAGACTCACCTTCATTGTTTCACGCACATTGTTGTAGTGATGCACACCTGTCTGGCTGTGTTTGTCACCAGCTCATGGGTTAGCAAACTGCAGCTGGTGGGCCAGAGTCAGCCCACCACCTTTATTTTATTTTATTTTATTTTTGTATGGCTCGGGAGCTGAGGGTGGGTTTTGCACTTTAAAATGTAAAATATAGAGCAAAGACTATTAGCCCTTCCTCTGGAGTTGGATGTGGACTTGAACCCTGGCACTGACCTGTTGTAACTGTGAGGCAAAGATAGGGCACCTCCGAGCCTGTTGTCCTCATTTGAAGATGAGATAATCGTGCCTTCTTCTGGGGACCGTTGTGAGGAATAAAAGAAGCCATTTACATGTCACTATCCAGTGCTTAGCACAGATTTAACGTCTTTAAAATTAATTTACTTTATTTTTATTTCTTTAAATCCTCACTGAAGGATTTTTTTAGATTGATTTTTCGAGAGCGAGGAAGGGAGAGAGAGAAACATCAATTGGTTGTGCCTCCTTTATGCACCCCAACCGGGGATCAAACCTGTAACCTAGGTATGTGTCCTGACTGGGAATCGAACCCAGAACCTTTTGGTGGACGGGACGACACTCCAACCAACGGAGCCACCTGGCCAGGGCAGCACAGAATTAGCCTCTAATGTTAGTGGTTACTTTTGGTCCAGATAAACATCCAGCCAAAGTAATCTGACCGTAGTCCTATAAACCAAACTATAGACCAGCTGGGGAAAAAAAAAAGTCATTTTGGATTGGCTTTTCTTTTTGGTGGTATTGAGAGTGAAGCGCTTTCTCCTGTCTGTGGCCCCGACTCTTAATTTTCTTCCCCATTTCTGTGTGTTTCGTTTTGTTTCTTGAGGCTGAATGAATCGGTTAAGGTGCGGACTTAGAAGCGTGTCTAAGGCACCTCACTGGGGGCGTGCGCACATCCCAGAGCTCTGTCCCGGGGCTCGTTTGCTTGGAGGGGCAGGAGGTCATGGTGCTGGGGGTGGGCACATCCTTCCGGTGTACCGTGTGGACTTTGAAGGCTGGCGGGCACTCTGTGACGACAGGTGGAATCGAAATGAACCCCCGTGATGCATCTTGGGCCTGTTTCTTTGCAGGCACCGTGAAGGTGAAGAGTGCCAGCATCCAAGTGGGGGATCTTATCATCGTGGAAAAGGTGAGTGGGGTCTCCCTCCGGTGTGTGTGTGAAAGGGAAGTCCCTGCCACCACGCCGCGGACCCTCGGGTGTGATTTGTGGGTGCAGTGCCCTGAGGGAATGAACTCTGCTGCAGTTCTAGTCGACAGCTCTGCCCGGGGAGAAAGATGTCTTTTCTAGGAGGCACACGGCACAGTTTTTCAAGTGTGTATGTGTTGGTTAGCTAGAAGTCCTGCTGACAAACACAGGTCCCGGCATTCTGTTTGACGTGTTTGTGGTTCTTTGGGGGTCTTTTTAAAAAAACTGACCATAGCCCTGGCCGGTTTGGCTCATCGGTTAGAGCGTCAGCCTGTGGTCCCGAGAGACCCGGGTTCGGTTCCTGCTAAGGGCACGTACTTTGGTTGCAGTTTGTCCCCGGCCCTGGTTGGGTTGTGCGGGTGGCAACTACTCGATGTGTCCCTGTCACGTCGATGTTTCTCTCTCTCTCTCCCTCCCACTTTATCTGAACAAAATATCAAAAAATGTCCTCGGGTGAGGATTAAAAAAAAAAAAACCAAAAAACCCAACAAACTGACCAGAAAGTCTGCCCTAGAAGGCTGTTAACTACATAACCACGTACAAATGTTTGTCATTTACTTTTGGAGCAATTTTAGCTTGCATTTTTATATTAAATATTTTTTAAGTGGATTTTTAGAGAGGAAGGGAGAGGGAGAGAGAAACATTGATTGGCTGCCTTCTGCACGCCCCCTGCTGGGGATCAGCTTGCAACTTGGGCATGTGCCCTGACTTGAACTGGAAATCTGTGCACGGGACATTGCCCAGTCAACCGAGCTACACCAGCTAGGGCTTAGCTTGCATTTTTTGACTTAAACATCATGCTTTTCTTTTTCTTTTTTTTTTTTTAATCCTCACCCGAGGACACTCTTCCATTTTTTGTTCAGGTAGAGTGGGAGGGAGAGAGAGGAACAGAGAGAGAGAAACATCGATGTGAAGGGACACATCGAGTGGCTGCCACCCGCACAACCGACCAGGGCCGGGGACAAACTGCAACCAAGGTACATGCCCTTAGCGGGAACCGAACCCAGGTCTCTCAGGACCGCAGGCCGACGCTCTAACCGCTGAGCCAAACTGGCCAGGGCAACATCATGCTTTTCAATCATTCTATGGGGAGTAGAGGTTAATATGAGAACAATAAAAAGCCAAAAATGCATTTTTAAAAATAGCTCCGCTAATTTGTCTGCTGTTTCAGCAGACACCTCTCTCTTTACTGTGTGTATTTGGAAGGCGTTGGGTTTTGGGGGTGGTCCTGGAAAGTCTCGGAATAACATTTGACTAGAAAAGGTTGTTTCTGGACTGGATTCTATAGGAAGTGAACTGTGCTCTTTTAAAAGGATTAAATCCAAGAACTCAAGGTTGATTGATTTGCGGTCAAGTGACGCTCTTCTGGGGAGCAGTGCAGAGCCCCCTCCCCCCTATATTTTACACAGTTCTTTCTGTTCATAATTAAATGAGGGCTGCTGTTGGCTTTGCTCTCTCCCTGTCTGAGAATGGCTTTTGTTCCTTCCCGTGACTTGACTTCCTCATTAAAGTCCCAGTGGAAGCTGAACGTCCAGCCGGGGGGCTGGTAGAAACAGAAAGGGTGAGCATAGTGTGAGTTTCAGGGGACAGCCCGGACCACAGCCAGCTCCGGTCGCGGGCCCTGGGCCTGGTCCCCTGGCTGGACTTTCGGGAGGTAGTGGTTGGATTCGCTGGAAAATTAGAAGCTCTCTTTCCAACAAGATAAGATTTCAGTAGGAAACGTAACTGCAGCGGGCAAGAGTTTTCAGATTCAAATCACCGTAAATCCCCGAGTCTGTCTTCGACAAAGGCAGACACTGAAGCGAGGTGGTGGGTTTCTGTGACTCCCCCAGCGAGGGGGCTGGGGGCCAGGGGCCAGGGGACGGAAACCCCACACATGGGTATCCACAGTAACAGTCTTTCTTTTCATAACAGAACCAGCGGGTGCCTGCTGACATGATCTTCCTGAGGACATCAGAAAAAAACGGTAAACATCTGGGACCAATTTAAAAAATAACCATTAACCTTTCAGTGGTAATTTGGCAAAATAATCATTCGAAAATGGAACAGAAGTAGATGATCATTTTGGAGCCGCGGAGGCGAATCCAAACAGCCCCGTAGAGCAGCCTGCAAAAAAAAAAAAAAAAAAAAAAAATTGGTTTTCGGTGCTTGCGGGTCAGTAGATTTTGATCATTGCAAAGATTCAGTCGTTTGGACGCCTGCTGAATCCCAGCGGGGAAGTCACACACACGGGGCGATGCCGTGCTCTCGGGCGGCCTGCGGCTCAGCGTCAGGGTCTGCAGAGGAGGAAGTGTGTGTGACAGATAGATGCACAGGCACAAACCCTCCTATGAGGAGATGGGGCGGCAGAGAAACGGGGGAGAGAGGTAGGTGGCCCCTTGGGCCCTGGAATCGGGAGCGGTGGGCCGTGCCCGCCTTGCCCATCAATTTGTTTATTGTTCCCGCCCACGGGGGCTTCTCCCGCAGGTCCCGCGTGCAGCCCACCCCGCCGGCTGGCTCATGGCTCCGCTCGCTTTATTTTTTGATATTTAAGCTGCCCCGAGGAAGCGAGGCTGTTTTTCTCTCCTATCAGGCACAATCAGAGATCTTTGAACCCCTGAGAAGTGCGCATTTGTATGCCTTTGAGGTTCCGGCACATATTTCATTACAAATTGAATCAAGTACGGGTGAAATGTCACCCTAACGCTCTGTGAAGTGACGCGGGGGGGGGGTGGGGGGTGGAAGGCCCCCGTGGAAACAGTCTTCTGCGGAAAACCACAGCTTTGCCCCGAATTCGTTCCGTGTCCTGGTCTGTGAAAATGGAGTGTGTGGATGACGTTCCCTGACACCCTCTCCCTTTCTTCAAACAACAACAACAACAAGAAGAGAGACGTGTGCTTCCGGAAGAGTCCTCAGACGGCCTGACGCAGGGCCAGCGAGCCCGTGCAGCCTCTGTCTGAGGGACTGTGCCGCTTACAGTGGCCCAGACTCGCCCGTCACACCCAGATACGCGTCCGTACAGAGTGCAGGCTGGTGACGACGGCAGTTACGTAGTCCTCCCCAGTGTGCGTGGGTCAGCTCTTGGGTTTTCACAGTATGAGGTTGGTGCTGTTATCTCCACGTTTACGCGCGAGAAAGTGGAGGCTTAGCGAGGGCCTGCAGTTGGTGGAGCTTGCACTCGAACCCAGCAGGTCTGGTTCCCGCGAAGGTGCTCGGAGCCCGTTCCCAGAACGGACTCGGATGCTGGTTCTCCGGTGCCAGCCATCACGATGGGGGTTCTGTCACCCCCACTGCATCCTCACAACCAGCCTGTGAGGTCGGCGTTTCTTCCCATTTTGCAGAAAGGACACACTGAGGATTAGCAAGGTCAAGGATTAGCAAGGTCAAGAAGCTAGCCCAGGTTCCCACTGTGAGTGAGTAGCGGAGCAGGATTCGAACCCAGATCTTTCCGGCCCTAGAGCTTAAGGAGGAAGAGGGAAATCGGGTGTTCACTTTCCCTCCTGGTGGCTGGCCACTCACTGGCTGTTTTCACAAGGGCAGAGCAGGGCTGCCCAGGGCAGGCCTCATGAGCTGGCTCTCACCCCCTTCCACAGGGTCCTGCTTCCTTCGCACGGATCAGCTGGACGGCGAGACGGACTGGAAGCTGCGGCTCCCCGTGGCCTGCACGCAGAGGCTCCCCACGGCCGCCGTGAGTAGCTTCCCCGCAGAGGCGCAACTGGGCGCTGTCACGAAAGGGCTCTCAGACTCATGCCCCGCAGGGCCAGAGGTGAAGCGGGGCGGGTGGGGTGTCTGGGGGTCCCGGGGAGCCTGGAGCGCTGATTGGTTCCAAGTCCCGTGGCCACGTGAAACGCAGACTCCGGGCAGGACAGAGCTCTCCCAAGGGAAGCTCAAACTCTTGAGACACCTCGACAGGGTTCCCAGCACGAAAGTCAAAGGTCGGCCAGAGCGTGTCGCGCCCCCGCTCACGACCTCCGGAGGCTTCTCAGCTTCCCGAGAGTCCGTTCCACAGCCCTTGCCGTCATCCTCCGACCCGCTGTGGTCTGTCTCTGCCGGGCCCTGACCTCTGCTCTCAGCTTCTCCCCAGACCTTCTCCCCCGGGGTCCTGGAAACTCCTGGCAGGCTCTCCAGGTCTTTCTGAGAAAACTGTCCAACAGATGGCCGTGAGCTCGGCAGAGTGTGCTTGTACACGAACAGCCTCCTGCGTTCCTTGCTCTGCAGCGTTTCCCCCCTTCACTCTGGACGCGTCCCTGGGCTTTTGCTCATGAGATTGTCGAGTCCACAGCGCAGAACGTCTGCCGAGGGGGACCCCTGGGTAGTGAGCAGAAGGCCCGGGCCCTGCCTGAGGGGCGGCCACTAGACCGGGGGCCCAAACTTGCCTGAGAGCCTGATTGATGTTCTTTTTCCTCAACTGAAAAAAGTATGGTAAAAGACATAAAACTTGTCCTCTTACCATTTTTAACTGGACAGTTCGATGGGTAAGCACATTCTCATTGCTGGTCAGCCCCCACCCTCCACCTTCAGGGCAACTGACACTTTGTCCCCCTGAGGTCCTCCCATGCCCCCTTCCCCAGCCCCTGGCCACCACCGTCGACTTTCTGTCTCTGTACATTCGACGCGAGGCACCGCAGGGACGTGGACTCATACGGTGTCTGTCTTTTTGTGACTGCATTTCCCTGAGCTTACTGCCCTCAAGGTTCATGCGTGTTGTGCCTGTGTTAGAAGGCCCTTCCTCTTTAGGGCTGGATGATATTCCGTTGTTCGGGTGACTGCATTTGGTGCAGCTATTCATCCGCCAGTGGACACTTGGGTTGCTTCCCCTTGGGCTCTGGCGATAATGCCGCAGCGGACACGGGTGTACAAACACCGCTCTGAGACCTTGCTTCCATTCCCAGCAAATGGAGTTGCTCCTCAAATAGCAATCCTCGGTTCCATTTCTCTGAGGGGCTGCCGTGCTGATTTCCACCGTGGTACCATTTTCCGTCCCCATCGGCAGCGCGCAAGGGGTCCGGTTCCCCACATCCTCGCCAACACTCACTGCTTTTTGTAGCCATGCCGAGGGCCCTGCCACCTGTGCCCTCCAGGGCGCCGTGCAGGGCAGGCGCCGAGAGCCAGCTGATGAATGAGCGAGTCCTTTCTCGCTGTGAACGGATCCCCGAGACCGGAGCGCAGTGAGGGGCTCCGTGCGGTCGGGCAGCGTGGGGACCAGCGTCTGGCGTCATCGCCTGTGGTACTAACTCAGTGGAAGGTTTCCCTCTTTTTTCCACCCGCCCCATCATTGTAAGAGCCTATTGGCTCTGTTTGGGAAATACGGTTGCTTGGGAAAAAGAGCAGCCACCTCCGTCCCGAAACCTCTCTAACCTGTGAACTGGCGTTGCCTGACTTCCGCGTGCTACCTCTATTGAACAGGACCTCCTGCAGATTCGGTCGTACATCTACGCAGAAGAGCCGAGCATCGACATCCACAACTTCGTGGGGACCTTTACTCGAGTGAGTAAGCTCGGCTTGCTGTAGGCTCCTGTCCGAGTGTGTGTATTCCTGGCGTTTTGTTTTCTCGTTTTAGAAAGAGAGGGAGGGAGGGAGGAACAGAGAGAGGGAGAGGGAGAGGGAGAGAGAGAGAGAGAGAGAGAGAGAGAGGGAGGAACATCAATTTGTTGCCTCCTGTCCATGCCCCCACCAAGGATCGGACCTGCCACATTTTGGTGTATAGGATGGTGCTCCAACCAACTGAGCCACCTGGCCAGGATCATTGTTATACGTTTTAAGCCACTTCTTAACCATTTGGAATAGAAGTTAAATGTGGGATTTAGGTTACTTTAGGACTCTGGGACAAGGGGTTTATGGAACCCAGATTAAATGGTTCGTGTTGTCTTTCTATGAGCCTCAGACGGCTCCTGTTGCATCAGCATCTCCGTCTTAGCGCTCCCCTTGTAAACACTCCTCAGTGTGATGTCTTGTCCTTCCCGCAGCTGGAGCCAGCTTTTCCGTGTGTTTCCACGGGGGTGGGAACCCCAAGGACAGCAGTCCGTGAGCGGGGCCCTTCTCCTGGCTGAGCTGTGGGCGTCCAACCGGGGGTCAGCCTGCCCTGCCTATCTTGAGAACAGGGTAGAGACCGCGTGTGTGTTTTCTCCAAACCTCGGTCAGTAAACGTGTGTCTGTCTGGTCTCTTCCAGGAGGACAGCGACCCTTCGGTCAGCGAGAGCTTGAGCATAGAGAACGCGCTCTGGGCCGGCACGGTCATCGCGTCGGGTGAGCCGCCCTGCCCGAGGAATGTGTTAGCAATTTGAAAAGGAAAGAAAATCCTCGCGAGTAATTAGAATAATCATCTGTCAGTCGGGAAAATTAGTCGTCGGTCAAATGGCGTTTTCCCCGTGCTGCTGCACCCCGGGGGACTCGGCGGACATCTAATTGCCCCTCAGACACTCAGAGAAGAGCGGCCGCTCTGGCCTGCGGACTTTTCTGCAGCGGCCACTCGGGAATAGCCCATAATTGTCCCTGCAGACGGACGTCCTAATCTGTACCAGAGGCTGGGTCAGCCCGGCCCTTCTGGCTAGGAGTCGGGTCCAAGGGCTGCCCAGCTGGTCCTGTGGGTGCAGGGGCTCTGCACACAGGATGGGGCTGGAGCCCGATGTTGAAAACACCATCGTGTCGTGGAAGTTGGTGCCGGTCAGTTTTGAGCACTTGGGGTGAAGCTGCACAGAAGGGGTCCATGGATGGGGCATCGTCTGCAGTAGGCCTGGCTGATGCCTGTGGGGTTCCGCCCATCTGTCACGCAGTGTGACAAGCTCTTCATGTGTGCGACACATTTCACTCACCTTCCCAAAGCTACCACGAGGGCAGGTGCTAGTGTCGTTCCCATTCTGCGGATGAGGAAACCGAGGTTCAGGGAGGTTAAGTGACTTGCCCAAGGTCACACAGCAGGGGAAAGATGAGCTGGGACTTGAACCCAGACACTTTGCTCTAGAAGGTGAACTCATTGTGCAGCTATTAGTATGAGGTATGTAATAACATGTACTGCCATTCATATACATTCCGCTGCCGGCAACTTTCTTTCTCTACTGTGGAGGAATCCATTTTTCCTCCTAGCCACCCATTGTCCTCAGCTTGGTGGTTCTTTGTGGCTCTTAGTACAACACTCACTCCAGATCCTCTATGACGAGGGAGGGGATGACAGGTGAGAGCCCAGGCCGCCCGGTGTCACAGTCCACAGACGTACACTTAATGCAGACGGGCAGAGATGAGCTCTCCCTGTACTGGCAGCACCATCTGGGGGTCTCCCATCCCCCTCATGACTACAGAAGTGACAAACTGGGCCTTAGGATTCTGCACAGCCACTGCCTGGCCACACCTGGGCTTCTGAGAGCCTCGATCTGTTTAGTTCGGCACTTGTTTTGATAATGTTTTAATAATAAGGACCTGTGCCTCTGTTTGTTTGGTTTTTATTCTGGTGATTTTCTCCTCTCCTTCCTTCCTGCTTCCCTTCTCTCCGCAAAGCAAACCTTGATGGAACGTCACCCTTATGTAATGAAGCCGTGCTCCGTTGCTAGGTCCTGGGGCCCCGTGGTGTGCCCGGAAACCCTGGTCTCCACTCTCCTGGGATTTATAGTGTACATGTTTCATGTGAGCTAGAGAGGAGAGGGGGGGAAACAGGAGAGGGTTCTATGGGTTTTCTCTGAAACAGTGAAGAGGCAAATGATTTAGGTGACGATGCAGAGAATTTTGAGGCGGATGGAGCGAGGTTATAAAATTCTTGTCAGTCTTAATCTCGGAGGTGAGCAGTCATCTTATTTATCAGGCACTTTTTATTTATAAAGTGCTTTGCTGCCATTCGCTTGTTGTGGTATCTCATGGCACTAAGTGAGGACATTTAATGGAATGCAGAATGGAGACTCAGAGAGGTTAAGCAACTTGCGTAAAGTCACACAGCCTTGGAGCGGTCATCTCCTGGGAGGAGGAGCGTGGAAGGCAACTGGGATCTTGCAGAGGGGGGAAGAGATTTAGAAACAGTGCACGGGAAATGCACTGTGGAGTTAGAACATGCATTTTTTCCATTGGTTTGAATGAATCTCTTTGTGCTTGGTGATGTGGGAAGAGAGGGAGCAGGGATTCCCGTGATCCAGTGGCAATGCCTGCCACCCCCTGCGGCGGGTGTATGTTTTGGAGGGAGTCTGGGGAGCTGTGCATTCAGCGTTTCTGTAGCTGGCCTCCGTTTCTTACTGCAGTCTCGTTCTAAGTCAAACAGGGAGTCAAGCGTAAGCCATTTCCTTCTGGTGCTCAACTCGAGAAACAGCCACCGAGAGTAATCTTAATCACATGACGTATTGCTTCTGCGTTCCCTTTAGACACTAACTCCTGTGTCTTGGTCGGTCTGCTCTTATTAGTTGGAAGTTTAAAAAAAAATAAATGAAGCTTGCCAAAGTGAGTGCTGGGGGTCCGGCATCAATTTGTAGAGGATGCAGTTGCCATGGTAACCCAGCACAGTGCTGCTCGGCTGGAGTCACCAGGGCAGTGAAGGGAAGGGAGGGGGAGGAGGAGACCTGGCAGAGAAGGTGGCCCGGATGTGACGGAGCCCAGGTGTTCTGGTCCAGTTCCTCTCAGACTCTCGGTGTGAGGGACCCGTTTGTTGGCCTCCCCGGACCCTCCCCCACAAGTCTGTAGATCAGACGGATCGTTGTCCTGCTGTGTGATCATCGCCCTGCCGTGTGTGACCAGCGTGCAGGTCATGTCGTGTGCACCTTGCTACACAGGTTTGGTGGTGCCCGGCTGGTGTGTCCCCTGTTCAGTGGGGCCTGTCCTGTGACCGCACGCTCGGGACTCGCAGCGGTGTCTAATTGCCCCAGACACTTCTGGACGCTGGGGCTGCGGGTTCCGCGTTCATCTTGTTGCGGACAGGGGACAAAGGGGTCGCCGTGAGGTCGGTCCCCAGGACCACACTGTTGTGCAGTTAGGAAGGACTTCGTGCAATGCCGACCACGACGGCCTGGCTCCTCGGAGGAGAGTCCATGGCCTGCAGGCTGCAGAGGGCGAAGGGGACCCCAGAGGTGACAGTGGAGGCCGCGGGGGTCCCACGAGGAATGCGGACCCAGAGTCACCTGACCTTCCCGTTTTCCAGGAGAAGCCAGAAACCTCAACTTTTAAATGCAAGCTCCTGTCTTTAAAAGTCGCCACTGGGCCCTGGCTGGTTTGGCTCAGCAGTTAGAGCATCGGCCCATGGACCAAAGAGTCTCGGGTTTGATTCCAGTCAAAGGCATGTACGTCAGTTGCAGTTCGGTCTCTGGCCCTGGTCGGGGTTGTGCGGGACGCAGCAGTCGATGTGTCTCCCTCACATCAATGTCTCTCCCTCCCTCGTTCCTTCCCACTTTATCTGAAGATAAATGGAAAAATATCCTCAGGTGAGGATTAAAAAAAAATTTGCCAATGAATTCCACACCTGTAAAGCGCTGTGCAGACCAAACCGGCACTGCTCCGCGGGAGCCTGTGTGCTCGGTCTCGGGCGGCGGGGCTGGATCTCCAGGCGACAGTTTTGATCTTGAGCACAGGGAGGTGTTTGGGGGAAGGCCATTTCCGCAGTGCTCAAGGCATTGAGGTTGGCTGGTACCAGTGAGGGGACCCTCCCTTCGGGAGCCCTTGTTGCCGAAGAGGGGGGAGGGAACAGGAGAGAGTTCTGTGGATTTCCTGGGAAACCTCTTGGACCCTGGACGTTGGATGTTCAGACCAAGCGTGGAGGGGTGAGCTCGGCCCAGGCTTGACTCCCGCTGTCCCACCAGCTGCCGCGGTGACAGGCCTGCGTGCACCGGGGCTGCCATCTGCCTGGGACGCCCAGCAAGCTCCCGGCCTGCCATCTGCTGCAGCCTCCCTGGAAGGGGCCGCCCGCCTTGGCCGGAGGACACTGTGCATTGAACCGGAGGGACTTCCGAGCCTCCTCCCAGGGCTCGTCCACGAGACCGGGCCCAGCGCTTCATCTGGGTTCGCTCTTTTCCCAAGACTGTGCCTTTTTGTTGTTGTTTTTATTGATTTCAGAGAGAGGAACGGAGGAAAGAGAAAGAGAGAGAATAACATCCATAAGAGAGAAATATTCCTGGGCTGCTTCCTGCACGCCCCCCACTGGGGATCAAGCCTGCAACCCGGGCATGTGCCCCCACCGGGAATCGAACCCGGACCTCCTGGTGCAGGGGACGACGCTCCACCAGCTGAGCCGTGGCAGCCGGGCTCCCAGAGTGGTGGTGTGTTCCTCTGCCAGCCTGTGCGGAGGAGAGAAGCTTAGGTGCTTGCTTTTTCACGACACCAGGTTGTTTGTGTTCCTAGTGTCTTCCCTGAGGGCTGGGCAGGGACGGCCCCTCCTCCTGTTCCAGGTCCCAGCTCAGATGCCCTCAAGTCAGAGACAGCTACTCAGACACTGTACCAACTGTAGTCTCCCCTCATCCTCCTCCTCCTCCCTCTCCTCCTCCTCCTCCTCCTCCTCCCCTCTGTCCTCCTCCTCCCCTCTCCTCCTCCTCCCCCTCCTCCCCTCTGTCCTCTTCCTCCTCCTCCTCCCCTCTGTCCTCCTCCTCCCCTCTCCTCCTACTCCCCCTCCTCCCCTCTGTCCTCTTCCTTCCCTTTCCTCCTCCTCCCCTCTGTCCTCCTCCTCCTCCTCCTCCCTCTCCTTCTCCTCCTCCTCCTCCTCCCCTCTCCTCCTCCTCCTCCACCCTCTCCTTCTCTCTCCTCTTCCTCCTCCTCCTCCCCTCTGTCCTTCTCCTCCTCCTCCCTCTCCTTCTCCTCCTCCTCTCCTCCCCCCCTTTCCTCCTCCTCCTCCTCCCTGTCCTCCTCCTCCTCCTCCCTTCTCCTCCTCCTCCTCCCTGTCCTCCTCCTCCCCTCTCCTCCCTCTCCCTCCCTCCTCTCCTCCTCCTCCCTCTCCTCCTCCTCCTCCTCCCCTCTCCCCTCCTCCTCCTCCTCCCCTCCTCCTCCTCCTCTCCCCTCTCTCCTCTCTCCTCCCCTCTCTCCTCTCCTCCCCTCTCTCTCCTCCTCCTCCTCCTCCTCTCTCCTCCTCCTCTCTCCCCTCTCTCCTCCCCTCCTCCCCTCTCTCCTCCTCCTCTCTCCCCTCTCTCCTCCCTCCTCCCCTCTCTCCTCCTCCTCCTCCCCTCTCTCCTCCTCCTCCTCCTCCCCTCTCTCCTCCTCCTCCTCTCTCCTCTCCTCATCCTCCTCCTCCCCTCTCCCCTCTCTCCTCCTCCCCCTCCTCTCTCCTCCTCCCCCTCCCCTCTCTCCTCCTCCTCCTACCTCCCCTCCTCTCCTCCTCCTCCTCCCCTCTCTCCTCCTCCTCCCCTCTTCCTCCTCCTCCTCCCCCCTCTCTCCTCCTCCTCCTCCCCTCTCTCCTCCTCTCTCTCCTCCTCCTCCCTCTCTCCTCCTCCTCCCTGTCCTCCTCCTCCTCTGGGACCTCCTCTCCTGTCCTTCCCAGGCGCTTTTCCCTCGGAACCGTCTTGGTTACTGTGTTTCTTGCCTCCCTCCTCCATCGCTGCCTCCCCTGCAGTGCTGAGCGCTCTCTTGGTGCACACTGAAAAGGGGAACAAAGGCACATATTTTATTGATATCGTCAACTTTCCCCCAAAATAGGTTGTTCCAGTTTACGCTCCAGCCAACAGCCTGGGTGATGGGGTCCATTCCCCGCTCCTGGCTAACACTGGATGTCAGTCTTGGGGGTTTTTGTTGCTATGCTGGGGGTAAACATGGCTTGCTTTGCATTTCTTTGATTACTCACTAGGTCGAGTGTCTTTTCTCATGTTAACTGTCCATTTCTATTCCTTCTCGAAATTGTCTGCTCTTAGGATTGATGTCTTTCGTTACTGTACCTGGAGGTGGGTTGGTGGGGGTAGTTCTCAGGAAAGAATCGTTGCCTGGGCAGACACCCCACAAACATACTAGTTCGACCCGGGGTCCGAAGGAGTCAGGCTCGGCGGCAGTGACGTGCTCTGAGCAGACGGGCGTGTTCGTGAGTTTCCGTAACGATGACCGCAGGTAGGGACGTTCTGGGCATCGACTGCCTAGCCCCGTGCGGCCACCGAGAATGAGGGACTGTGTTTGATTTCGTTTTCGTCGACTGTGAATTGCACCTGCGGCACGTGGCTAGCCGCTTCCCTACTGATCGGTGTAGCCGTGCCCGGTCATTGGCTGGCGCTGGCCCCGACGTGGGCACACCGATGTCCTTCCGGTGCCGGTGTCAGGTTTAGGAGACGTTCTCTTGGGGGGCTCGGGCTCTTCTGTTCGTAAGCTCTCCTGTCCGCACTGACATTCCTTCGGGTCGTGTTTTTCTCGTTTTAGGCACTGTGGTGGGCGTTGTTCTGTACACAGGCAGGGAGCTCCGGAGCGTCATGAACACCTCGAATCCTCGAAGTAAGGTGTGTGCGTGGTCACGGGACATGTCTCCTCGTCAGACTGTCACCTGATGAACTGATGATTGGTGGTGGGGGTGAGGAGCCAGACTTAAAAACTGGACCCCCGACAGTATTATTTTATTCATACAAACCTACGTCTTTTCATATATATATGTAGGTATGTATACATGTACATAGATAGACACACATGTGTAACACACACAGGGTGAGGCAGAACTCAGCCTACAGTTGTGAATATTCGACACAGAGTTATCCTTGTATTATTAGTTATTAATTATTGTATTATTTTTCCATACAAATAACTGTAGCCCTACTTTGCCCCACTCTGTGTAAAACAAAAGTAGGTATTCATGGAAATACACATACATACAATTTAAAACATTTATTTTCTAAATTTAATTTTATTCTGTAAAACTAAAACATACTTTTTATGACCAAAAAGATTTTATCCCCATGTTGAACACATCACATTGTAAAGGCTTTTAAGTCAAAGCAAACTCTTGCGTGCCCCGTGCTATGCTGCGTCCTTCACGCATCGCCGCTCATGTGGCCTCGTCACAAAGACAGAGTGGCCTCGGGACCTGCCACTCTGCCTGAGTGTCCAGCGAGCGGGACGCAGGCGGGGCTCAGACCTCCGCTGATGGCCTGGGGGTCAGGCGACGGTCCGCCTCGTGCCTGTTACAGCTCATTTCACACCATGGCCCTCCCAGCTCCACCCTCCTCCAGTTCTAAGTCCAAATATTGCAGAACGATTTCCTTTGTCCCGTCCACGAACAAACGCTGTTTCCCAAACTCCAGTCGTTTTCACTCCACCATGACAGCTGCAGATGTCATTTATTTGATGTTGTTGCCTTATCTTAGGCCACATTTCTGTGAAGTGATGGGTTTGCTGTGCTAGTCACATTGAAAAAAATATGCACCCTGACATACATACGTAATTATGAAAATAATAATGTTAATGAATGCAGCTCCCGAAAACAGGTGCCGCAGAAGTGTGTGCCCCGAACTTTTCAGGCACATCTGACTTCGTGTGTGGGACAGGCCAGGAGTGGAGGGTTGAGGCATTTTACAGGTCGCTGTGTCGGGTGGTGGAGACCACGCAGTGCACAGCCCCACCAGGCGCTGTAGTGACCTGTTTATGTGTTTTCAAGGCTAAATCTTCTTAAGTCATTAAAAAATCTGAAAGCAGAATCTTTGAGGTCCCTTGGGTGTCTGCTGTGGCCTCCAGCCCATAGCGCCCAGTGTTCTCAACCAAAGCTGTGGGGTCAAGGGTCCCCTGTTTCACTGGGGTGGAGGTGTTCATGGGTGAAGGACCGTTCTCCAGGTGGGCTGTGGGCTGCACCAGCTAATCCCAAGTTCCCCTTTGTGCCTTGACCCCAGATTGGCCTGTTTGACCTGGAAGTGAACTGTCTCACGAAGATCCTCTTTGGCGCTCTGGTGGTGGTGTCATTGGTCATGGTGGCCCTTCAGCACTTTGCTGGGCGTTGGTACCTACAGATCATCCGCTTCCTCCTCTTGTTTTCCAACATCATTCCCATCAGGTAAGCAGAGAATGAACGCGCCGTCTCAGTGTCTTCTCTTTGCTGGGACCCTTTGCTGAGTGCTGACCCGGAGCAGTCAGGTCGGGGTGGGAGCATGCTTTCTGGCTGTAGCATGGAAGGGCTCATGCCTCCATGGTCCATTTCTTCTCTGCTCAAAAGGTCTTCCCTTGCCCAGTCTACGGTAGGGATGCCAGTTAGAGTCTACCTCATCTGCTCGTTCTCAGAGGTCGTAGGGGCCGTGGGGTGCTGGCTGGGACGGGTTCTGAGCCTGAGTCCGGGCTCAGCAGGAGACAGTGTTGTGACTGAGGAGCGGTGGGAGCTGAGTGGCTCATGCCAGCTGTTTGCCTTGTTTGGAGGCCGAATTAATGGTTTAAAAATGAGATCAGCAATAGATTATCTTAGTGGAAAAAGTGACGCTTCCCAGTAACAAAAGATTACAATAAAAATCACCTCTACTCTCACACTTATATGATCACTGCTGTTAACATTTTGGGATGTTATTTTTTTCTAGACGCTTTCTATTTTAGAAAAAAAGAGATTCTGTTCTACGTAAAACATGTTCTCTCTCTTTTTTTTTTTTGTGGTACGTGCCCCTAGCGGGAACCGAACCCGGAACTCTCTGGTCTGCAAGCCAACGCTTAACCACTGAGCCAAACTGGCCAGGGCTGTTCTCTCTTTTTAATAGCAATGTTTTGCAAATAACTTTTAAAGTCAGATATATTTGCACCCATCATTTTTTGGAACTGCCCTAGTATATATTCTAGGTTTAACAATTTATTGAACATTCAAAGAACTAACACCAATTCTCATTCCAAAAAATTCAAGAGGAAGGAAGACTTCCGAGTTCTTTCAATGAGGCCAGCGTAATCCTAATTCCAAAACCAGATCAAGACACTACAAAGAAAGAAACTTACAGGCTAATATTCCTGATGAACATAGATGCCAAAATCCTCAACAGAATATTAGCAAATTGGATCCAACAATATAATAAAAAAACAATTATTTACCTCTATTTTTTTTCCATAGGAAATAATAATGATTATTGATGGATTGATTTTAGAGAGAGAGAGAAAAAAGGAGAGAGAGAGAGAAAAAAAACATTGATTTGTTGTTCCATTTATCTGTGCATTCATTGGTTGATTCTTGTACGTGCTCTGACCGGGGATTGAACCTACAACCTTGGTGTATTGGGACGATGCTCTAAACAGCTGAGCTACCCAGCCATGGTAATCAATAGATAATTACTATAATAAGCCGTATCTTTTTCATGAAAAGTTTAGTGCATATCATCTCTGTTTTATGCTGGATATATTGCATTGTCTTTTGCATAGTTATGTCATCCTAGCTAGACTTTGTCTTTTTCTGAGGACAGATATTGTGGTTTTGGTACAACTGTGTGACCAGTACAGTAGAATTGAACCTCTAGCCAACATGCTCTGGATGTTGGTTCCAGAGAATAAATAAGTCTACCTTATTTCAAGCAAAAAATGTGTTTATGATACGTATATGTTAAGTCGTAGCCTTAAAATTCTATCTACAAGATGATTGAATAATTACTCAATTAATTCAGTCTCACGTGGCCCATGGCTAGCCAGTAAAATAGTAAGCAGTTTGATTAGTTTAAAAGATTATGGATGGATCTGAGGATTTCTTTTGATTTTTTTGCAATAAAAGAATATTTTAGCCCGGGCTGGTTTGGCTCAGCAGTTAGAGCATTGGCCCGCAGACCAAAGAGTTGTAGGTTCGATTTTCTGGTCAAGGGCATGTACCTGGGTTGCAGGTTTGATCCCTGGCCCCGGTCAGGGTCATGTGGGAGGCAACCAATTGACATGTCTCTCTCACATGGATGTTTCTCTCTCTCCCTCCCTCCCTCTCTTCTACTCCACCTGATAATCAATGGAAAAAATATTCTCATCTGAGGATTAACAAAAATAAAACTAAAATGAACAAAAACAAACAAACAAAAGAATATCTTAAAGTGAGTAGAATACATACAATGGAATATTATTTAGCATTAAAAAGGAAGGAAATTCTGACTCAAGCTGGGGCGTAGAGACACCCTGAGGACATGCTGAGTGAATTAAGCCAGTCACGAGAGGAAAATGACGACCCCACATACGTGAAGTGCCCAGAAACAGTTAAACCCCTGGAAACGGAAAGCGGAGCGGTGGTTTCCGGGGGCAAGGAAACGGGGAGTCACTGCTTAATGGGTATGGAATTCCCGTTTGGGAAGATGAAAAAGTTGTGGCCCTGGCCGGTTTGGCTCAGTGGTTAGAGCGTCGGCCTGCAGTCCTGAGAGACCTGGGTTCGGTTCCCGCTAAGGGCATGTACCTCGGTTGCAGTTTGTCCCCGGCCCTGCTTGGTCGTGCGGGTGGCAGCCACTCGATGTGTCCCTTTCACATCGATGTTTCTCTCTCTCTCTCTCCCTTCCACTCTACCTGAACAAAAAAAATGGAAAAATGTCCTCGGGTGAGGATAAAAAAAAGAAAAAGTTGTGGACGTGGGTGGTGGCGGTGGTTTCACAGGTGGGATTATACTCCGTGCCACCGAACTGTCCACTTCAATTGGTTTAAATGGCAAACTTACGTTGTATATATTTTACCACAATTAAAAAAAATGAGTATAGTATCAATAATACATTAGCTCAGAGGACCAGTAATTAAAAAAATAAAAGACGAAAACAACAACCCTTTGAGTGTTTTACGTGACCTTGGTCCATGGCAGAATAACGTCCTGAGAATACAATGACTTGCTTTCTTTTTTTTTTTTTTATCCTCACCTGAGGACATTTTTTTTCCATTTTTTGTTTAGATAGAGTGGGAGGGAGAGAGAGAGAGAGAAACATCGATGTGAAAGGGACACATCAAGTGGCTGCTACCTGCACGACCCAACCAGGGCTGGGGACAAACTGCAACCGAGGTACGTACCCTTAGCGGGAACCGAACCCAGGTCTCTCTGGACCGCAGGCCGATGCTCTAACCGCTGAGCCAAACCGGCCAGGGCATGACTTCCTTTCTTGTGACTTGACGGCGACGGCAGCGGCTCCTGCCGTATCTGGGGGTTCAGCCCCGCAGTGGCCGCCGTAGGGAGTGATCCCGAGGTTGTGGCGCAAGTGATGCGTGTTCAGAGTCCGCACCGTTTGCAGAAGAAACACGAGGGGCCTTTTGTGTGTCCTGTTAACCGGTTTGCCCTGGTTTTCTGGCCAGTTTGCGCGTGAACCTGGACATGGGCAAGATTGTGTACAGCTGGGTGATCCGAAGGGATTCAAAGATCCCGGGGACGGTGGTGCGCTCCAGCACGATTCCCGAGCAGCTGGGGAGGATTTCTTACCTACTCACAGACAAGACAGGTGAGCTTCCTGGCCCCGCCCAGGGTTCCAGGTGAGAAGGCGCCGGGTCCTCTTCCTGGAGGTAACAGACGTATGCTGCTGTTTTTCTATTTATTTTATTTTACTTTATTTTTTGTCTTTATTGTTGGAAGTATTACAGATGTCCCCCTTTTTCTCCCTCACTGACCCCCACCTCCCCATTCCCACCCCCTTCCTGCCTTCCCCACACCATTGTCTGTGTCCGTTGGTTGTGCATCTGTGCATTTAAGTTCCTTGGTTTATCTCTTCCTGCCCCCACCTCGACCCCCCTTCCCGCTGAGGTTTGTCCGTCTGTTCCCTACTGACATGTCTCTGGATCTGTTTTGATCATCAGCTTACTTTGTTCATATTCCACCAGTACGTGAGATCATGTGGCACCTGTCTCTCTCTGCCTGGCCTATTTCGCTTAGCATAATGCTCTTTTATTTCCTTCATCTTTGATGGAGATTGATTGTTTGTGATGGAGACGATGATACCAGGAACCAAGCTTTACCAAATACTTCTTCTGTGCATGGGGTAGTTATTCGTCATGCTAACCTTACATTTTTACTGGTGGAAACGTGAAACCCAGGTGAACTGAGGCGTCAGAAGCACATAGTGGCAGAGGCAGGCAGTCTGGCCTCGAGTCCTGAGCTCCCCACGACACCCCTATCGCTGTCCCGCAGTTGAACATCACAGTGGTTAAGAGCAAAGACGGGGGTGGGAGATGTGGGTTTAAGCTTCAGCTCTACCGTTCAGCGTCCCCAGGATCAAAGGGACTCTCGCAGAGATCCAGAGTGGCTCCCAAACCGAGGAAAAACTGGGTTTCAGGAAGGGGAGGAACCAGGAAAACTGCGAATATGTTGGCATCGGGCCCCCTGGGTGGTCTCTGCAGGGCTCCATCCCTGGGGTGACAACTCATCTTCCATCCATGCCTCTGTCTGCTCAGCGGTCAGGTTCCTCCAAGATGGACTCTGATTGGACGAGTGCATGTCACGTGCCGCCCTCTTGGCCAATGGGATGAGTCAAGCACCCTGATTGGCACTCCCTCTGGGCCATCCCAGGAAGTGAGGCGCTCATTCCCCCGGGAACCAGCATGCCATTTCCCAAAGAAAGGGAATCGGACTCCAGCCAACACAGCAGCCCAGCAAAGGCGGGGCAGCGCTAAAACCAGCGTGTGATGCGCAGTCCGCGCTCAGAAAATCACAGCTATCTTTGTGTATTATGTCTATGCTGCTAACACTAGTAAAAGCCCCAGGATGGAGGTGCAGTTACTCGTATGTCTTGTTCCAGGAACTCTTACCCAGAATGAGATGGTGTTCAAACGGCTCCACCTGGGCACCGTGGCCTATGGCCTCGACTCCATGGACGAAGTCCAGAGCCACATCTTCAGCATTTACACCCAGGTAGTGCTTTCCGTTCTGATACCCCAAGTCTTGTGCACACCTGCCTTGGGATGTAATTCATTGCACCGTGGTTCACCTCTGCACTGTCCAGCTCCCCCTTGGCGACGAGACGTCTGTCCTGAGGGTTCACTGTGAGGATTATCATGCTTATTGGCGTCGGGCTGGACAGCCCTCGGCCCCTCCTCAGCCTGCAGGTGACTGATGACCGTATGAGGGCCTCATAATCGTCGTGTACCCCACCCCCCGGCGGGAGACACACCCTAGCCCATTTGGTGGTATTTTTAAGAGCTCATGGTGTTTACAGAAGCCATTCCTTCTCAGGCTGTTTGTGTAGTTCAGCTTTTATGGTCCATTTTTGGTTCAGCACAGATAACACTCTTTGTGAAGTGCTAAAAGTCAGAAAACGACATTTCTGACCATGACCTTGAACTCCCAACTCTTCCTTAGTGGAAGCTCATAAGTGCATTTGCCCAGATCCTGGCTCTGTGTTACAGAGTCAGGTCATCTCGAGGTTGGCGTGAGCCCAGAATTAGAGTCCCCCCGCCCCCAATGCGCGTGTGCACCCTCTCTCAGGGCGTGCACAAATCCTGCAGTAAACACGTGAATACATTCGGGATGAGAGGATGAAGGCTTCCCCGGGGTTTTCTCCCACAGCTGTATCGAGGTATAATTTACACACCATGAAACACAGCTCTGTTACGTGTACGGTTCAGTGGTTTATTTTAGTAAATGACTGAGTTATGGAACCATCAGCACAATTCAGTCTTAGAACACACCCACCACCCAGAAAGGTTCTTTCGAGCCCGTCCCATTATCACCTGACCTTGAGAGTTTGTCCCTAGGCTTGTAGGACAGTGTTTTGTCACGTACGGTATTTGGAACTCCTGGGCAGATCATGTGGGATGGTCAGAGTCCCTCCACCCAGGTCAACAGGTAAGCCAGCTGCTTCCAAAGGACAGCAGTCTGAGAACATCTACCACGAACCTGAGGTCTGCCCTTGTTTGTCAGAACATCAGTGTCTAAATCTGGGGACAAACAGAATTTGCAAGATGATCTCTTGGGGTGCAGGAAGGAAGGATTAGAGCGTCCATTTTCATCTTCAAAATTAAAGCAAAGTTTAAATCTTACTAATAGTATTGAGATTGACCCAGGGACCCTTACTCCTTAGACCAGACTAGCATCTGTCAGGTGCGGTCCTGGAGGTGTCCAGCGGAAGGAGTCGGAATTCTATGCTTGGTTTTATTGTATTTTTTTATCCTCACCTGAGGACATTTTTTGGGGGCCAGAAATAAACTGCAACCGAGGTACGTGCCCCTAGCGGGAACCGAACCCAAGTCTCTCTGGTCCGTGGGCCGATGCTCTAACTGCTGAGCCAAACCGGCCAGGGCTCTATGCTTGTTTTTTCAGAATGTTGAAATGTAGACTGATGTGGGTATGCGTGTCCAGGTGATTGCTTTGAGGGATGTTATTTAACTGAAGTAACCATGTAAAGAAGGCAGATGGTTTTAAAATGTTCCTGCAGGAGCCCTGGCCGGTTTGGCTCAGTGCTTAGAGTGCCGGCCCACAGACCAAAGAGTCACAGGTTCAATTCCGGTCAAGGGCACGTATCTCGGTTGCGGTTCATCCCGGCCCTGGTCAGGGTTGTGCGGGAGGCAGCCACTTAGTGTGTCCTTTTCACGTCGATGTTTCTCTCTCTTTCTTCCTCTCTCTCCCTCCCACTCTATCTGAACAAAAATGGAAAAATGTCCTCGCGTGAGGATAAAAAAAAAAAAAAAATCAAGTTATTTCTCTGCCTTTGTGTGTCTGGAGTGATATGTGCTTTGTGTATGTGTGTGTGTGTGTCCTTTTTTACAAGAAGGAGACATATTTTTGTAATTTTTAAAAATATATATATTTTTTTATTCTTACCCGAGGACATTTTTCCATTTTTTGTTCAGATAGAGTGGGAGGGAGAGAGAGGAAGAGAGAGAGAGAGAAACGTTGATGTGAAAGGGACACATCGAGTGGCTGCCACCCACATGACCAACCAGGGCTGGGGACAAACTGCAACCGAGGTACATAACCTTAGCAGGAACCGAACCCGGGTCTCTCTGGACCGCAGGCCGACGCTCTAACCGCTGAGCCAAACCGGCCAGGGCCAAAAATATATGTTTTTATTGATTTTTTTTTTAGAGAAGGGAGGGAGGGAGAGGAACATCGATGTGAGAGAGGAACATCGATCAGCTGCCTCCTGCACGCCCCCCACTGGGGATCGAGCCCCAAACCCGGGCACGTGCCCTGACCAGGAATGGAACCAGGATCTTTCAGTCCATGGACGATGCTCAACCCACTGAGCCACACTGCCTGGGCTTTTGTAATTCTTTTAAACCAGAGTTGAACTTCAGAATTTTGTGTAAAGTTGAAAAAGGTTATATATGCTTGTACCCTCTTGCATTCCTTGGGTGTGGGGGACCCAAGCATCTCTATTTCTTAAAATATTTATTGGTTATTTTGGGAAGCATTTTTGGTTAAGAGCCACTGTTAGAATAACACTATCCAACTTCCTTTTTTCACTCATGTCAATAATTCTGTTATATATATATTTTTAATTCTTACCCAAGAATATTTTTTTATTTTAACTTCAGATAGAGTAGTAAGGGGAGAGAGAAAAGTATTGGTGTGAGAGAGAGAGAGAGAAACATCAATGTGAGAAAGACACATTGATTGGTTGCCTCCTGCACGACCCCAACCAGGGCCGGGGACCAAACTGCAACTGAGGTACGTGCCTTTAACTGGAATCAAATCCATGAAGCTCTGGTCCACGGACCGATGCTCTAACCACTGAGAAAACTGGCCAGGGCGATTCTGATCATTTTTAATGGTTTATAACAGGGCCAGGACTAACTAGGGTAAGAAGTGTGGGGTGTGCACCTTGGAAGCAAAATTTAATGGGATGCCCCGCCTCAAACACAGTAATGAAGATCAATTATAGTATAACACAACATTTTAAAAACCCAGAGTTCTTGCAAAAATCCATGATAGACACAGTACCGGAATTTTATTTCTTTATTTTTTGCATTTATCTTCAGTTAGAGAGGGAGGGAGAGAGGAACGAAGAGAGAGAGAGAAACATCGATGTGAGAGAGACACATCGACTGGTTGCCACCCACACGACCCCAACGGGCCGGGGGCAAACTGCAACTGAGGTACATGCCCTTAGCGGGAACCGAACCCGGGACTCTGGTCCACGGGCCGACGCTCTAACCGCTGAGCCACACCGGCCAGGGCCGTACTGGAATTGTAAATCGACAGGATCCGGCCTGTGCCATCAGGCCTCCCGCACTCCTGGCCCTGGTGTTGCAGTGTTGATGGCTTTTTGTCGTCGTTTCCAGCCTCGGCCCATGGCACCCTGGGCTGGGTAGTTCTTTGTTGCAAAGGCCTTGCTGTGCATTCCAGGATTTTAACAGAGTCCTTGTGGGCAAAATAAAAATCACCCAAGTTCAGAGCCCGTGTTCTCTGGGGTTCAATGTCAAGGAATTGAAATGTGTTGCCTCTGTCTGCTCCAAGATCAGCAGTGAACGTAGCCCGGTTGGTGTGGCCCGGTGGTTGAGCATTGGCCCATGCACCAAGAGGTCGCTGGTTCGATTCCCGGTCAGGACACATGCCCAGGTTTTCGGCCTGATCCCCAGTGGTTGGCTTGCAGGAGGCGGCCAATCGATGTCCTCTCTCATCGATGTTTCTATCTCTCTCTAAAATCAATAAAGGAAAACAAACAAACAAACAAACAGTGAACGTATTTATTCATCCAGTTCATCAGCCTGTAACTTACTGGATGCATTTGGGAGCAGCAGGTCCGAGCCTGTCTTTGTGAGGGTGCCCCCTTGCGGTTGATGCGTGATCAGCTTCAGGTTTTCCTTGGGGAGTGAAGTGGGACCATCGAAACAGGAATCCCTTCTCCCCGACAGTGTGTTTATGGCGATTGCAATCCGTCCATGCTGTCCATTAGTATCACGAACGTCCATGAAGTGGTGGTGAAGTTTTAGTTGCATTTAGAAAGAAAATTGAGATGCGTGGCGACTCAGGGTTTAATTTTCGTATTAATGTTTCCCGTGATACGAACCGGAGTTCTCTGTGGGACAGCCCCTGCCGTGGATCATAGATGAGAAACGGGCCTGTTTTCATTGCTCCCCGTGTCTCATTGGTTGACTGGGGTGCCGTAGGATGACTCAGTCGATGGTGCGAGATACCCCACCCCAGGGTCCAAGTCAGGCCTCTGTACGTGGAGTCTTGACTCCTCTTCTAAGCCCTGCCCTCGTGGGAGCTGAGCTGGCCTCCTTCCTCTGTAAGAGCACCGGGGTTTCCCCCAGGGCAGAAAGACTCGCAACCTGCCCCTGTGGATGCCACATCTGTTTTGATTTTCCCCTGGTATTTTTTAAGTCAGAAGAAATGTGTGTAGGTTAAAGGGCCTATGGGGAGGAGGCTAGAGATAAACACTGTACAATGTGAAACTCTTCCATATGCGGAATGTGGGGATGTCTGAAGACGGGGTCCAACCAGTGCTGACAGAGCCCTGGCAGTGACCAGGGCCCTCGTGAGGCCCGTGGATTACCACTGGGTGTGCGAGTGAGCCTTTTACTGGAAAATTAAAAGGGGATTTCAGAATCAGTGGCGATGACCCCCCGCTCCCTGAAGCACCCTGGCAGGAAAGGGGATGTGTGTTCATTGAGGAGAGAAATAAACGAACATGGAGATGTTGACCAGTCTCCTGTTGGCCCGGGCCGGGCACCCTCGCCTTTTGATTTGTTGCCAAATGGTTGCCTGATCCGAAAGCGAGGTCCTTGCAGAAGTCCGGGCTGTCTGGGTTATCCCACCTCTGAAATGTCAGGGGGACTCTTTGCCTTCTGGAGAGGTGAAATCAGATTGCTCATAGAATCCAAAGTTTTGGGAAGGGTCCCTTAACTCGGACTTTCCTTCAAGCCCCGTGTCATTGAAACCTGCCAGTCAGAGCAATTACTTTGTCAAAGGTCTTGTTATTGCCCCTCGCGTTAAATCGTAATTTGGTCCAGGTGCTGAGGAATGCAGGCGAAGATGAAGACGCGCGTCCGTGCCTAGAACATACATCACAGAACTTAGGACAGAAGGTTCTGGGCTTAGCCCGTCCCAGAGAGAACCTTCCTGTATGTCTTCGATCCTCGTCATAACGTCGCAGTTCAAGTCTTGATAATCAAAAGCACTTGGCAAATCATGATCCATTTAAACTGTAGTTCTGATTCATTACTCTAATTATTGTTACCATGCAGTGCCCTTTGGCCTGGAAGTGAAACCCGTGTCCTCTTGACACCAGAGGTTAACGGAGCAGGAAGCCAGAGCGGTATGTGTGCCTGCATGACAAGAATAATTTAGTAATTGTCTAATTACCAGAGGAGTCTATCGCCACTGCTAAAAATAGTATTAAAAAATTAAACGAAAGTCGTTTTCTTGTTTCTCGGAACCCATCTGTTCTCTATTTTGGGCAACCGTGTGTTCACGGGCATAAAACGCGATCCATTCTCAGAGGTCGGCTTTGCTTCTCCTGTCGGGTAAAATATGTTTTTAATGGAGTGTAGCATCCAGTACGTCCGTCAGCGTCTCTGGCTCCCGGGACACAGCTGTGGGGCAGGAGCACTACTGCAGGTCCTTTGTCCACGCTGTGATTTAAAATCTGGAGCTGATGTTGGTCCATTCGATATTTATTTCTTCTTGGAGATGGAAAAAAAAAATCATGTGAAGTCAGGACCTCCACCCTCACCTTAGGTACAGTAAATTGCTCATTTGTTCAGCAAATATCTCCTGCTTCAGATACTAGGAATGCAGCAGACAAGCTCCCTGTTCTCCTGGTCTAACAGGAGAATCATCAGGTCAATAGCCAGTGTAGATAGTGAAGACAATAACCTACAGGCAACATGACTTCCAGTGGGGAGGGCAAGTGGGGTGATATGAATTAGGGGGCTCAGAGGAGCCCTCTTGGAGGAGGTGACATTGGAATTTAGACCTCCTTGATGAGATGGAGTGAGCCAGCCCTGCAGAGATCTGGGAAATGGTGCTTGAGGCAGAGGGCACAGCAAGTGCAAAGGCCCTGTGGCAGGAAGCAGCATGGCAGTGTTCAAAGGACAGAAAAGGTCAGCGTGGCTGGAGCAGAGTGGATAAGGAGGAGGGTGTTCTGAAGGGAGGCTGCAGAGATGGGCAGGGGCTGATCAGTAGGGCCCCGTGGGTCATGGGAGGGCATCTGACTTTTGTGGAACACTGAGCTATAAATTGTTGATCATTTTCCAGTGACGTTAATTTTTTATTATATTTCAAGGCCATAGTAACCCCTTTTCAAAGGAAGGCCTTCATGGCGCCCTATGTATAACAGATAGAACGGGTGTCTGGGGATTCCGCTACGCGGGTGTGGAGCAGGGGTTGAACCCCCCACCCCAGCTCATCCCTCTCATGTGCCGGGGCTGAGCCCCGAGAGCAGATGTGGTTTGCTCGAGGCACAGCTTTTCACAACCCGTCCAGGAGTGAAGCTCAGATGTGCTAACCTTCAGTGCTCTTTGCGTGGTGCTTGAAACCATCTTCCCCAAGACTTAACCCGTTCGGGAGGGGCGGCCGTGTGTCCGAAGGTACGAATAAGGGGCGGTGAAGGCTGGTGGCAACCAGACAGCTGCCTACGTAGGTGAAGGATCTGAAGTCCGCCTAGGAAACAACATTTGAGCACATATAAAACTCTTCCCTTTAAAAAAATGATTGTATTTAAAAAAAATTACTCTTGGAAATCTACCTTAAGTGCAGTGCGAGGTACCACTTTTGCAGTACGCTCGCCTGGGCGGGTTTTCCTTCCGTTGTTACTGGCCCTGCCCCTGCCCCGGGTCACTTGTTACTGATGGTCGTTACCCCCCGTAGAGCACAAGTCAAAGTTGTCATGTTTTATTTGAAACCAAAGAGTGTACCTTTATTGTTTTTTGTTTGTTTGTTTGTTTTTTTAATCCTCACCCGAGGACCTTTTTTTTCCATTTTTTGCACAGATAGAGTGGGAGGGAGAGAGAGGAAGAGAGAGAAAGAGAGAGAGAAACATCGACGTGAAGGGACACATCGAGTGGCTTCCACCCGCACGACCAGCCAGGGCCGGGGACAAACTGCAACCGAGATACATGCCCTTAGTGGGAACCGAACCCGGGTCTCTCCGGACCGCAGGCCGATGCTCTAACCGCTGAGCCAAACCGGCCAGGGCTATTGTTTTTAAATTAAATTTTTTAAAATCCTCACTTGAGGATATTTTTTCATTGATTTTTTCAGATAGAGTGGGAGGGGGAGGGGAGAGAGAAATATCAATGTGAGAGAGATGCATTACTTGCCTTCCACATGACCCCAGACCAAGGCCTGGGATCAAACCTGCAACTGAGGTGATGTGCCCTTGACTGGGAATTGAACCTGAGACTCTTTGGTCTGTACATCAATGCTCTAACCCCTGAGCCAAACCGGCCAGGGCCAAAGAGCGTACCTTTAAAACAGTGGTTCTAAACCAGGATGGGTTTGGTCTCCCTGGGACATTTGGCAACATCTGTTGGAACAATTAGGGGAGAGAGGTACGTCTAGAATCTAGGAGGTGAGGCCAGAGATGCGGCTGAGCATCCTACAAGGCACAGGATCGTCCCACCACAGAGAAAGTTTGCCCCCAAGGTCAGCAATGCCCGGGATGAGACGCCCTGGCCTAGAACACCAGGGTCACTTGCAGCGTGGTGGGACCCTCCCTTTGTTGGAAGCCCCCCGATACCACCCAAAGGAAGACAGTCACACGTGTTAGCAGGGGGAATCACCCACATTCACTAAATTGTAATCTTTTTTCTATTTATTTTGCACGTTTTTGTTGTTCTTTGCGGAGTATGAAAATCACGTACCATTTACTGCGGTGTCACTGTAGATACGCCTGAGAGTCACCTGTGACCCGTAGTAAGGAGAGCAGAACTCTGCGTGGCTGTTCCTTCGCCTCTGGTCACCTTGTTCGTTTCTCCTTGTAGCAATCCCAGGACCCGCCTGCGCAGAAGGGCCCCACGGTCACCACCAAGGTGCGGCGGACCATGAGCAGCCGCGTGCACGAAGCCGTGAAGGCCATCGCGCTCTGCCACAACGTGACCCCCGTGTACGAGTCCAACGGCGTGACCGACCAGGCCGAGGCCGAGAAGCAGTACGAGGACTCGTGCCGCGTGTACCAGGCGTCCAGCCCGGACGAGGTAAACCCCGAGCCAGCGTGGCAAGGCGCCGAGACGCCCTGCCTGTCTCCCACGTGCCCCAGGCGTGCTCCCCAAGGATTCACCCGTCGGGCAGACCGGAGCCGGGGGATGCAGGGCAGCCAGGCCGGTACCTCTGCAGACACCTGCAGGAGTTGGTCTCTCCTAGGAGTAGTCGTGGACTTGAGGTCTGGCCTGAATTGGGAAAGTTCACGAGGTCTGGTTTGTAATTCAGGTGGCCAGTCCCTCAGGGACACGAGGTCCCACGGAAACCGCATCCCCTTCACAAAACCAGCTTTATTAAGATAAAATTCACACCCCATAGAGTCACCCATTTAACATGTCTAGGTCAGAGGTTTTTTGTTGTTATTGTTTTTTGGTACATGCTCCTAGCGGGAACCAAACCCGGGGCTCTCTGGTCTGCTGGCCGACGGTCCAGCAACCACTGAGCCAAACTGGCCAGGGCAAGAGTTTTTTTGGTATATTCACAGAGTGTTGCAACCATGACCACAATCCATTTTGGGACATTTTCATCACCCCCAAGGGAAGTACTCTGTGCCCATTTTCCCTCTAGACTCCCCTACCTCCAGCCCCGGGCAGCCACTCCTCGATCTGTGCAGAATTGCCTTTTCTGGACATTTCGTACAAACCAGAAACTTACATTACGCGACCGTTTGTGTCTGGCTTCTTCCACTTAGCACACGTTTCGAGACCCATTCGCGTTGTAGCAGGTGCCAGGACTTCATGACTTTTTACGGCTGAATAAGATTCCGCTGTATGAATAACGTTACGTTTTTGTTGGTCCCTTCATTGGTTGATGGACATTTGGACTGTATGCTGTTTGTTTGCTGTTATGGGTAATGCTGCGATGAACATTGGTGTGCAGGTTTTTGAGCGGACGTACGTTTCACGTCTCGGTGTATGGCTGGGAATGGAATTCCGGGCCGTGTGGTAACCGTATGCCGAACCTTTGGAGGACGTGCCGTTTTCTAAAGTGGCTGCAGCATCTTGCATCCCCAGCAGCAGGGTAGGCGGGTTCCGGCCTCCCCACATCTTGGCCAGCACTTGTCCCTGTCGAGTCTGGCCGTCCCAGTGGGCGTGAGGTGGAGCCTCATGGTGGCTTTGCTTTGCGTTCCCCTGATGGCTAATGATGTTGGGCACCTTTCCGCCTGCTTCCTGGCTATTTGCGTGTCTTTGTCGTCTGCCTCCTTTGCCCACTATTCATTGTGTTGTGTCTTCTTGTTGTTGAGTTGGAGGAATTCCTTACGCATCCTATGTAAGTCTCTTATCAGATGTCTGATTTGCAAATATTTTCTGCCATTCTGACGGCTATGTTTTTCTGGACGGTGTCCTTTGAAACACATAGTTTCTAATTTTTGAAGTCCAGTAAGTTGCTCTTCATATCTCAGCATAGTCTCCTGACGAAACCAAAAGAATTCATTTGATTCCATGTTCAAGAACATCACCCCTTTCCTGTTTCCTATACAGGACCCAGCGTCTTTCCCTGTTAGGGTGTCACATGATCGGAACACCGTCTGCAGGGACCTCGCCCAGCCTGAAAACAGCCCCACACTCTGTGCCCCCGACCCGAGTGTAATTCAGACACAGGCCGGTGCTTCTCCAATCTTAACATTTTGGTCTTTGGTCCTTTCGGTTTTTTGTCTTAAAGACTTTGTTCTGATTATGAAAGCGATTTTTACTTAGCGTAGAAAATGCGGACATTTCCGAAGACCGAAGACCGTAGAGGAGAAAATGGGTCAAACGCAGTCCCACCTGTAAAGCATCACCACAGGCGGTCTTCCGGGAGCACTTGGTTCTCGGCAGGTTTGAGGTGTGTTCCCGTGTTACGTCCTTTAATCGTCCCGGCACCCAAGAGGCGCTGTGGTTGCCGTTTTTCAGGGGGAAAAAATTCTGAGATAGAGACGTAGATTTAGCCTAAAGTCCCCTGGATTTTTTTTTTTTTAAAGCCAACTTTTTTATTTCGAAATAATTTCAGACTTACAGAAAAGTTGTAAAATTAGTACAAAGAATTCCCATGTACCCAGCCTTCGCTCAGATTCCTCAGAGGTTAACATTTTCCCTCCCCTCCCCTCCCTCCCTCCCTCCCTCCCTCCCTCCCTCCCTCCCTCCCTCCCCTCCCTCCCTCCCTCCCTCCCTCCCTCCCTCCCTCCCTCCCTCTCTCCCTCTTTTATCTTTGAAGAGTCGTCGACAGTCCTCTTGAAGGAGTCTTGTTCAGGCCCATGATAATAAATGAGCAGAGTGCTTCTCCGAAACATTACTTACCCCATTTTATTCTCCCACCAGGGTGAAGGGATGCCCGGTGACGTCTGTTCTTGTCCATTGTAAGGAGGCTTTTCTGGTAAACAGTGTTTTAAAGGTCTGGACTAATCTGAGTATATCAGTGGGCCACTGGCTAATGGTAGCTTTCCAAAGCTCAGGCATGAAAGGACTCATAGATGTGTCTTTCTTTTGTCACTTCTTTCTCCTTTTTTGGGGGGCCATGGAATGTGTCCCCCAGGAGACTCCTCCTTCCAGGCTGCTTGGTGTTTGCAGAACAGATCAAGCGATGGCACCCACTTCCCCCCTGACATTGACGTTTGAACCAGGCTTTTTAGGGGTACAACATGTGGGACACCCTTGGCCAAATTCCGAGAATTGTGTGCAGAAGGAGAAGAGGCAGAGAGAGGACGGGGGCTGATCCTGCTGACCTGCTGGGACTTGGGCCCCAGGAACCAAAACTTCAGGTTTAGCCGCTTGGAGCTCGGTTTTCCGTTTGGGAATGGGAGGACGGTACCACTGAATGTAGACGCGAGAAAGGACCAGATTCTCGGTGGCTATGACTGGGAACCAGCAGGGTAGGGGCACCTGGTGGAATTTGATTAAGTTGCAGACGTTGGGGATCGGATCAGCCTGCCTCCACCTCCACGCTCCTGATACACCAGTCGATCGACTGGCTATTGAGATGCGTACATGGGGGCCTTGAATGCCTGTCCCACGCCCCTCAGCTCCCACTGACCTTTGAGATATTGGTTTGAGGGCTGTGTAAGGGTTGGCCACAAGGGTCAGTCTTTCATGGAATGTTCTGTGTTTCTTAGCTCCTTTTTTTAAATTTTTATTTATTGATCCTCAGAGAGAGAGAGGAAGAGAGAGGGAGAGAGAGAGATGGAAACATTGGTGAGCGAGAACATCGATTGGCCACCTCCTGCGTGCCCCCCACTGGGGACCCGGCCCACACCCTGGGCATGTGCCCTGACCGGGAATCGAACCGGTGACCTCTTGGTGCATGGGTCGACGCCCTACCTCTGAGCCACACCAGCCGGGACTTAGCTCCTTTTTTCTTGAAGTGAATGGTCCTTTATCTCTTCTGTTAATTAATCACACCGGGACTCAGGTTTGTCTTGCTTTTCTAAGATTCTGAATAGTGATTGAGAAAAAGAAAAAAGGAGGCGTTCTCTTTGGCCTTTTGGTATCTTCACCGAGGTCAGTATTACCTATTGATACCTTCCGCCCCACAACGATATTAGTTCGTATTGCAGTTATTGTGTGTTTATTGTGAAAGATGTGAAAACACAGATAAGAAAGAAAAAAAGGTAAACCATAATCCTACTAACAAAAGGTACAACCAGCGCTAGTGTTTTACAGACCAGCCCTCTAGATGATTTCAGAGCCGTGTTCCGCACAGGACAGATCCGTGTGCAGACACACCGTGTGCCGGAGAGGCGAAGTCTCGTTGCGGCGAAGGTTGCGGGGAGCTGCGCTGTGCCCACGTCCCCGCGGGACTCCGCAGCGGCGTGGCTGTGTCTGGAATCCGCACTTTGAAACCTGATATCAATAAAACATCGCTGGTCAGGGCAAGGTCAGCTTATGAAATTCATATCGGAGCCAGGATGCATTTTACTCCGGAGCTGCCGGAGTAATTTCTACCGGTTGGGGTAGTTTTCATTTCCTGTAACAGAAAGCAGGATTTCCTAAATTTGTTTCCTGTGCACATTCCACTCGGGAAGCCGTGAAGGGTCTTTATTCAGCTATTGATTGCAGCCTGAGGGGCGCTCCGTTCTGTGGCTCCCCGGGGAAAGGAGAGAGATCTAATCTGGCCCGAGAGAAGAGCTCCCCAGATGCCGGAGCAGGCAGGGTTCAGCCCTGACGCCAGTCCTTCATTTCCGGGGCACTGGGGAGCCCTGAGGGGTGGGGGGCAGCGGGAGAGACCGTGGCGGTGATGCAGCTTCCAATCCTCTGTCTCTTGGTGTGAGTGGTCAGGAGTTTTCTCCCACACACAGGTGGAAGCAACCCTCCCACTCACCTCTGTCTTTTCCGTGAATCCTGTCACATTACAAAAAATTCTTAAACGTACAAAGTCACAAGCACTGATGGTCTCCCTAGGAAAACAGTGGACATTATAGACTCAAAAAGAAGTTGATCAACGTGACCAGTACTTCGTGTACCTGGCGAGAACCGCTGTTCATGTTCTGGTATCGGTTTCCCCAGCGTTTTCTTAAACGTGTGTGTGTATGTGGAAACGTGACTGTGCGTCTCTGTAACCCCAGCATCGTACCGGGGTGCATGTCCCTAAATAGGAAGGAAGGGGAAGTGAGTTCAGTAACATCCTTTGGGAAGTCACATGGCTTCCAGAGGATTTGTGTGTGCGTGCGTGTGTGTGTGTGGCGTATGTGTTTGTATACATGTGTGCCGTGGGAGCGTGTGTATGTGTGTGGGGACATGCATGGGTGTTTGTACACGGATGCGCATATATGTGAGAGTATCATGAAAGTTTCTTCGTGCATTGGGCTTTACCTTGGCTAGCTGGGGAGTTTCAGAGACACTAATTACAGCTCCTCCGTGCTGTATAGAATGTTCCATGTGGCCACCCCATGCTCATGGCTCAGTGCGACGTCTGCCTCTCTCCCACCCCAGACCTCCATTCTTGAAGTCTCCATACAGCCTCCTCGCCCAGCTCCTCCTCTGAGCCACCCCCGTGGTCCACCTCTGAGCACCTTTGCAGAGAT